CCCCTTCCCTCCCCCCATTCCCAAATCCTCCCTGAGCCCCGTCCTGCAGCAGCAGGCAGTGCTCGAGAGCTGCTTCTCACTCGGCCCCTGCCCACCCCCGTGCTCGGGGGAGGACACGGGCTAAGGATGTGGAAGTTCTGAGATCTGGACCCAGGTCGGACCATAACTGGGCAGCTCTTTCTAGAACCGGCAACATGGCTCCTGGTTCTGATTCTGGTCTCTGACTGGAGTGAGGGCTTCGTCCACTGTCCAACCCACTGTCCCCTGCAGAGAGGCTCGGGGGACTTCAGAGTCTTGGAGGCCCTTGCCTGTCCTCACGCCAAGTGAGGAGGGTCCCACGGAGGTTTGTCCTCTTGGAAAATCCTTTCCAGAATGTTCGTTCTGTTGTCACTGAGGCCCCTTATGTGTGTGTGGTTCACAGGGAGCAGGAGGCATCCTAGCCTTTTAAAGGCTTTGACAAAATGGGGAATTGAACCGTCCGTCCTCCTGTGGGGTCGCCCATAGGTTGTTAGAAATGACTTGAGGTGAAATGACACAGGCGGAAACCAGTCTGGCCCAGGCTTATTGCTGCACACGGCAAAGTTCCTGCAGCTTAGCTCTACTCACAGAAGCATCACCAAACTTCTGAATAAAGACCTGCACTTGTAGAGCGAATCAGCAATTTGCATCCGTTCAGTCACGCATGTGGTCTGTCCCCCATTTCCAACCCGCTTGTTCTGGCCAGGGTCGGTGGCCGGAGCCTGTCCTGGCAGCTCAGGGCACCAGGCAGGCCACACCTGACGGGAGGCCCCTCCTCCCAAGGGCACATCACACACACACTCACTGTGATGGGACCACCGAGGCGCACTGGTGGGCACCATGCCACACCCCGGGGGTGCAGGCAGCCGGAGTACTCAGAGTAAACCAGCGGTGCCAGCTCCACAGGCGGTGGGGAGCGGAACCCTTGCTTCTTTCTCATCAGTGTCACAATGAAGCAAACCAGGGCTGCTGTCCTCACACAGGAGGTCTCGCTGTGGAAATGTGGATGTGTGCCCAGACAGTGTCTGTCACCACCTGGCAGTTTTACTTCACCCTGTGCCCACCTTCCTTCTTCCCTTTTGGAGACCCTGTGGCAGGTCGGATTAGGAGTCCACCTGGAGTGGCTTTGGTGAGGAGAGTAGCCTCCTAGTCCATTTGGGACTTGGTCCCTCTCTCCAGTCTGTCCTCTACCGTGTTGGCTTTATTTTCCGTTTCTAGAAGGGGCCAGGAGCCTCATTCCGGCGAGGTCTCAAGGCTGGTGGGCCAGGTGTTTGCTCCCCCTGGTGCAGCCTTTCCAGCCGACTGTTGGCTCTGATGGGTCCCATCCTCTGCCCCCGCCCTCCAGATTGGAGTTTGCAGCCCCCACCTGCCTGCCCACCCAACAGCTGCCCCCACTGAGTCTAAGTCTCCTTCAATCCCTCACCAGCCCATTTCCTCTCATTAACACACCCAACAGCAGAAATTGTTCTTCTTTTATAAAGGTGTTGTGTCTCAGATTGTCAATTGTCTGAAATGTAATTTTTCGGCTCATTATATCAAAACTGGTGTTTGAAGCACATACAGAGCTGTTGCTAATGGCCTTTTGGATTAGTCAGGCTTCTCTGGAGACATGGAACCAAGAAGTTGTGTATGTGTGTAAATATGTATATATGTATAACGTATCCGTACATTTATAATAAGGCATTAGTTCGGATGATTATAGAAGCTAACGAGTCCCAAGACCTGCAGGGAGAGCGGGCAAGCTGCAGATCTTGCGGAGCTGATGGTGAACATTCTGACCCCAAGGCCAGCAGATTTGAGACCCTGGAAGAGTTAATGCTTCAGTTTACATTCCAAGGCTGGAAAGACACTGACATCCCGCCTGGAGGCAATCAGGCAGGAGGAGCTGTCCTTTCCTGGTGGTGAGTGAGGCTTTATGTGCTCATCAGGCCTTCAACTGCTGAGACAAGGCCCACCCATGATGGGAGGGCAGTCTGCTTTGCTCAGGCTGCCAATTCAGATGTTCATCTCACACACACGCCTAGAAATGTTTGACCCAGTATCTGGCCCCGTCAAATTCACATAAAATTAGCTGTCACACCTTTGACATAATCTCAGGGGTTTACAATGATCTTCTGAGGTCACATGGTCAGAAAGCTGTTATTGAAGCCTGGAGGCCATGATGGTCCAGAGTCTGGGATTGGTTCTCAGCTTCTCCCAGGGGTATGAGTTCGAGGTTCTTATTTTAATCCTGATAGACTAATTTTCACATCACAAGATTCTATAACAGTCAATAATCAGGAGGGTGATCGAGATCCACTCCCAAGAAGCAAGGCAGAAGTCAGAGCCTCTGACTTCTTCCAGGGTTGGCAGTCAGTCCTGTCTCCGGACCAGTGACTTAACAAGGTCTTAAGTTCCCACAAGGCTGTCAGTTCCGAGTTAGTTTGCCTTTTCTAGGCCACATGGTACCTGACAGAGTGACCAATGGGAGGGCGCTCCCCCGCCTGCACCATCTGGACAGTAGCCCTCCCAGCATCTGCAGGTGCTCCGGTCCTCAGGCTCAGGGTGTCTCCTTTTCTGACCTTCCAGATGCTTGTTCAGATGTGTGCGTCCCAGGCACCGGGTAAGGTCAACAGAAACCTGCCCCTTTGCAGAGCCATGAGTCACCTGGGTGGAGAGCAGGGCTGTTTTCCTGAGAAAGGTGTGGTGTGTGGGTCTTCACAGATACAGGACTTTGACCCTCGTCTGGAGGGTTGGGGTTGGGTGGTTTGTCTTTTTTTTTTTTTTTTTTTTTTTTTTAGGATAGTTTGTCTTTTGTTTTTTTAAAGATTTTATTTCTTTATGCATACAAGACCTGGGGTACAGGCCAGAGATGCGGGGGTGACAGGATCCACCAGAGACAGAGTGGGGAGCAGAACAGGCAGATGGACCAAAGACACTGCTGAGGGAAGAGGCAGGCAAGTCAGGAGAGGTCTGCTGAGCCATGTGGGCTGCTTCCTGGCCAGCCGGGGATTGAACTCGTGCTGCAGAGGCTGCAAATTGCTTCATAGTGCACTGCTTAACCCTTTGCGCCGCCAGGGAGGCCCTGTCTTGTGGTTTTGTCTTGGGTTTTTGTGGCCTGGGGAGTCCATTTCTGGCCTCACTTCTTCCCCCTCCCATATTTGAGGTGGAACTGGCCAGGGTTGTAATGTGTCTAGGGTGGTGAGCAAAGATTTATTTTACTTCTTTGGGGCAAGGTGGAGAGAACGGAAGAATCTGTGCATGGTGAGAATGTGGTGTGACAAGGCCAGCGTTGTCACTCTTGGCAAGCCTGCCTCCAGAACACCCTGTCCTGGCCACTGGGTATGGCATGTGCTCCTCTTTCATCCAGTGTTTGGGATCCAAGCAGAGTGTGTGTACCTGTGATGAACGCAGGGATACTTGGGGATCATCAGATTTTATAGCTGGTTTCTCCATATCTCCCCCAAATCTCTCTACCCAAAGAACCACAGGACAGGTAATATAATTCTATTTTTTCTAACTCTCTATGCCAAAGGTGTAGATAAATATGTATTTTTCTATGTAAATGACTTTCATGAATCATGTTTTTGGTAACTAATAAGACAAGAGCAAGTTGGTGTTGGTGAGAAATTGTTAGGAAAAGTGAAAGTGAGCGTCTGACGACAACATTTTGCAAACTTACGTACAGAAGGGTCTGTGCGTGCTGAGGGCAAGGGGAGCGTCCGGGGCCTTTCACACGGGCTTCCCACCCTCCCCCAGGAATGGCTTACGGTCTGCACAAGGGGGGTTTCGAGAACATGATCCTTCCTTGCCGCACCTGTGAGATTTTGGGGTTGGCTGGTTTCTCACCGACAGTATCAAATATACTTACGAAGAGGGACACTGGAGAATACCAGGTATTTGGGCAAAAGCTGACGATACTGCAGAAATAATAATGGTGTTATTTCTGGTGGCTTCATAAACTTTTCAGCCGCGTCCTGAGAAATGCCTGCAGAGATGGGTGATGTCAGAGATGGAGGGCTTGTCCCAGGGCTTATCTGGGCTCCAGCCTCCCTCCAGCCTGCAGAGCAAAAGCTCAGGAGTTCTAACTCACAGTCCTCCGAAGTCCTCAGGATGGAATGATCGTGGCTCTGTCTTTTCTTTTCTTTTTTTTTAAAGATTTATTTATACAAGCACTGGGTACAGTCAGAAGCGCGGGAGGGTGAGAGAATTCACCAGAGCCAGAGTGGGGAACAGAACAGGCAGACTGACGAAGTGCACTGCTGAGGGAAGCAGCGGGCGGCAGGAGAGGTCTGTCGTGCCATGTGGGACCCTCGCTGGCGGCCGGGGATCGAACCGGTGCTACAGAGGCTGCGGGCAGCTTCGCAGCCCAGCGCTCAACTGCTGCGCCACCGGGGAGGCCCCGATAGTGACTGAGTCTTATGAGGCCTGGTGGTGCGAGGGAGGCCATACCTGTTTAATGTCTATTTACTTTTGTTTTGCCAACAGTAATTTTTGCTGAGGGCCTCCCTTGTGTGGGCTTGCTCAAGGCCTTGTCGCCTTTACTCCTCCCTTGCCTGAGAGGGGCAAGTGGTGTTTCTATCCTGCTTTATTTCTTTTTTTTTTTTTTTTTTTTAAATTTTTCTAGAGGCATGTCTTATTTATTTATTTATTTATTATTTGTTTGTTTGTTTGGTTTATACATGCACTGGGTACAGTCAGAAGCGCGGGAGGGTGAGAGAATTCACCAGAGCCAGAGCGGGGAGCAGAGCAGGCAGAAGGACCGAAGGACACTGCTGAGGGGAGCAGCGGGCGGCAGGAGAGGTCTGCGCGCCATGTGGGACCCTCCTCCGGTGGCCGGGGAGCAGCCGGGGATCGAACCGGCTGCAGAGGCTGCGGGCAGCTTCGCAACCCAGCGCTCAACCGCTGCGCCACCGGGGAGGCCCCTATCCTGCTTTATCTCTGAGGAGGCTGAGGCTGAGGGAGGTGAACTCGCTTCTCAAGCACGGCTCCTCCTCTTGCAGGTCGGGCCGGCGTTTGAAGAAGACCCGCAAGTATGACATCATCACCACCCCGGCCGAGCGCGTGGAGATGGCCCCGCTGAATGAGGAGGAAGACGAGGAGGAAGACTCCACGGTGTTTGACATCAAGTACAGGTGCCTGGGCCTGGGGTGTCGAGGTGTCGGGTCCGGCTGTGGTAACAGCAGGTGTGCTGTGCGTGTGTTCTGGTTCTTTGGTTGTGTTTGACCTGGGGTGTTCTGCTTGCCGGGGGGCTGCTCTGGTCCCTTCATAGCACCCAGAGAACCAGCAGAGGATACAGGGAAACACTTATTTTCTGCTCCTGCCAAACGCCAGCTGAGAAGTCAGACACAAGCCGGTGCGGCCCTGGGGTGGGGCCTCAGGCCCAGCAGCCTCGCGTGCCGCACACACCACGGGAAATTGCTCTTTTGGCCTCTCTCAAAGCGGTAGCTGAGAAGCAGGGGAGTGATCCTTCCTGATGGAGTTTACTGGAAGCTCCAAAGGCAGGTGTGCTTCCTTTAGGTAGCCACAGAGCACTCAGGAGGACTGTCTCTTCGGGCTTGTAGTGTGGGGGCTCCGGGGTCTGCTTGGGATGTACTTTGGACGTGTGAGCTGGGGGGAGCACAGGTTAGAGATGAGAGGGAGCAGCTTGCAAGGGTGAGACACACATCCCGGCCAGACCCAATCCCAAGATTCACCCCAAGGGGTTCTCCAGAGAAACAGAGCCAGCAGGACATGCATCTGTATTTAGAAAGAGATTTATTCTGAAGGTCCAAGTCTGAAGGCCTGAGAACCAGGAGAGCCGATGGTGTGAGCGCCGGCCCCGGGACTGGAGAAGACCGATGTCGCTCCGTGCAAATCGCCAGGCAGAGCGCGCGAGTTCTCCCACCCCAACCTGTTCTCTTCGGGCCTCCAGCGATGGACGAGGCTCACCGGTTTTACTCAACCTGCAGATGTAATTGTTAACGTCACTCAGAGACACCCCCGGAATAATATGGGGCGTGTGTCTGTGACCCAGCTGAGCTGACTCCCAAGATTAACCATTGCTCGGCTTCTCCGCTTCCTGGGGAGCCGAGCCTCCCTGGCTTGCCCCTCCTGGCCCCAGCCCTGCTGTGTAAATCTGTCCTCAGATTCAACAAAAAAAGCATTTGGGGTTTTGATCCGAGTCGTACTGACACAGTTGGCCTGTTTAGGGAGAATCAGCCCCTTTCTGTGACTCTCCCCGCCCGTGAGCATGGAGTCACTTTCCAATTATTTCAGTATTTAAAAAAAGTTAGTACTTTCAAAATTGTCTCCATCAATGTATTATGTGTTAGACGTATCCGTAGGTATTTATTATTCTTACCTATTTATATTTATTATGCTTACCTATTTATATTAGCTATATATATTATATACATAGATATAGTTTTGATTAAAAAATAAAATTTTATGTATACTCATGCCTGAAGAAGATGGCCACATCATCATGGTTGCCCACGCTGACTTTGGACGCAGCTTGTTAACGATTCACACCTGCATCTTATCAACATCCAAGCTTGAAGTCACAGACTGGTCAGAGAAGCCGAGTAAGGGGATATGCTGTGAGCCATAATTTGCATTTTAGGTAGAGAGCCTTGGGGAAGAACTCGAGATCCACACTGCAAAATCACGGACACGTAAGAACGCTGGTGATCCTGATCTCATTGCCACGTCATTTTAGCTGCCCCACGTTCAGTGCGGAGAGATAAAGCATCGGGGAAAGAAAACTCTGCTCTCGTTAGTCACAGTAGAAAAAGTTTCCAGTGCCCTGGGGCCTGGAGGATTGTATAGTGGCTTTCCTGGAATCAGCCTGCTGTTTGGCCTCTGAGCCATTGACAAGTTTCTCACCCTTATTTGGTGACTGAGCTAACTCCCCGGGAGCTGTGGCCTGTTTTAGTGGTGGGCTCAGCGCTCACTAACGCAAGAACAGACCCTCAACAGGGAAACACAGGGATCCGCCTGTCCGCAGTCTTCGTAGGCTTGTTCTCGTTGTTGTGGGGCTTCTCTAGAGTCAGCGGATCCATGGCTTGTTTTGATATAAAGACTGCTTGGCTGCTCCTGGATCCTGAAGATAAGGCGGGTGTTCAGACCACGGTCACATTAAGAAAGTTCCACAACCTGGTGTCTCCAGTGCGTCACCTACTGGAGCAGGTTCCTGCTCTAGCTGATGACGGTGACACTTGCCACCAAGGCAAAGGCTCCATTGAAGCCCCTGGTGGGGGCCAAGGTCACATCCTGCTTTTCTTTTCCAAAAGTCTGAGATTGCTCACAGGTCTATTGTGAAGGCAAAAGAACTTAAGGGAGCCAGGTTGGAAGCAGGCTCA